AAAGTACATGAGGATTTGTGATTTTTCGTACGGTAAACGTTCTTAACAGCCCATTGATGTTATGGTCAGGTCTGTAAAAACATTAACCAATATGGTCAAAACAATAACCAGCTATGGTTCGATTATGTTCAATGGAACCATATCCATTATGGTCTCGGAAGGAAGATAAACCATTATTGTTAAGGTCATAATGTGGTTAACGTTTATGCGGGTAACTCTAAGACCACTGGGTCCCGAAGAAAATCATTATTATTTTTGGCTCACTCAGTACCAGAACAACGGTCCCAAGCAGTCCCAAGCTATTTCACTCACCCCTGCATGTTCTGCATGAATCCACACACCCCTGATGTTATCTGTCAAACTTTCATAGCGAATCAAAACAAACATAGTGTAGTAATAGAATTTCAACTAGAATAGGGTACGTTAATCGTTTGCTTGGGACCAATAGGCTACTAAAGTGGTGAGCCAATTTAAAATCGTTAGTTTCGTATTGATTGTTGGTATAACGTTGCACGATGTACATCGATTTTGCGAACAAAATTACATCCATTGATGTAATATTGTATCTGCTTTTTGCTATTACATCATAATTTCATACATCAGCTTGAATTACGTTGATCGATATTACATTTTTTTTGCTGTGTAAGGCTGCCATCCACCGCTCACGTAGTCTTCTTTTACCTTCCTTTAGCTTGAGTGGTGATCTTACGGTGATTCCAGTAGATCTCTGGAACCATGTGTTGAGTCTGCTTGAATCTATACCAGAAGATATTTCTGGAACCATCTAAAAACTTCACCCCATTTTAAAAGCCACATGTGAAAAGGGCACACAAGTCTTCTGTGAACAAACCTTGCAGTCCTTTGTCTCGTTACCCGACAACATCTCATATGATGGGACCGCGAGAGTCAAGGCATGCGAAACAGCGCACGCCGATGGCGCCCTGAGAGAGCGCATTGAGATGTTTCAATGAAACAGTCGCATGTGATTGAATACATGCGTCGCATTCAAAGAGCAACGTGATGAGACAAAAAAAAAATTGAAGCGCTCGAATTTGTTGAGAGCGTGTAGCTTGTTTCGTGCATCGTTCTGGTCTCTCTTTTGTACAATTAATGTAGCACACCATGGATTTGAGAGTCATGCGACGCTCCGTCTCACAGCTCGCTGTCGCATTTGTGTACGCGTGAGATTTCCGGAAGCCTGCGCAGTACCCCACGCTTATTCACCGGGTGAGTCGATCGTACTCAATTCTGTCTGATGCATTAGGTTGTCAAAATCTGAGTAATGTCTGAAGTAATATTTGGTGTACAAATTGCTCAAATTTGTAGTTATTATAGTTTTTAGTATAAATATTAATGATATTCACTGTCCAGCGGAAAGCTACAAAGATAAAAAAAAAAAAAAAGTAACAGTGTAACATTAACGCATACACTCAATGACTTTTCACCGTTGTTGTTTATGTTTACTGTAGCTTTCTGTGTGCCTAGATTTTTGTTTTCGATAGCTCTGATCGTTTTCGGCTTCCACTTTTGATGATAAAAACGGCACTGGACGTTCCCCAGCAGCAAATCTCTCCAAGTTGCAGGCCCCATGGTGAATCGAGCGTAAGACGACCACAGAATCATCACTTTGGGACTCTGTTTACATGGGTGGCGATTCCCGTTCCGTAGGAGGAAAGCACATTGGTTCGCAGACGATGAAGGATTCGAGGAAATTAAATTTTGTTTTCCGAAAAGTTTTGACAGTTCACTGTTGAACTGGCAGATCTTTCACATTGAAAATAGCTTTGTTTATATTTACATCTATCAGCAACATCTGATCACTCATACACTCACAGCTGTTAGCTGTCAGATCAACTTCGTTGCATGGATCACCTTATAGAGTTTGCTGACGTTTATCGTACTCACACAACGCGAAAATTTTTAATTGTTTATTTGTTTATTTGTTATGTTTGCATCAACAGACTAGAAATAGTCCCAATGATATACAGTTACCGACAAACCGACATGACACTTAATTCTGACATGCCTGAAAATCGTAAGCGGCCGATTTAAATGTGCTGTGATCACAACTGTCAAAACCATAGGATTTTTATATCTAGATAAAGATAATTTGTCTAGAATAGATCAGACACGAACCAATCCATAACTTTTGCATGCGGGTTCATGGCTTAGCTAAATATTTCCACGAATACGGAGCCAGACGTCAGTACACGAAACGAAAATCAATTATTTTGTGTGACCGCTTATACATGTCATTTGACACATCATCTTCATTAACTTTTTGCAAGGCGTCTGCTTATTAGCTGACTTATACATTTTATGAATAATCAGCCATAGAAATTTGCCAAAAGGTATAAGGAGATTTTTATCCGTGTAGTGTGCTTTGGTCAAATTTTTTATTGTGTTTGCTATGGTCATTCATGTCTGTTTGTCGGTGCTACAGTTATAATCGAAAATAACAAGGAAAGCATTGTCAAGTTCGAGGTCAAGTTACTAAAAATTTATAAGTATAAAATTTTACACTTAGCTGTTGGGCGTTAAGCTCCTTCGGTCAGCAAAAAAGGCAGAGAATCTTCGACGAAGCATATTTCGTGTCAATCGAACATCGACGCTATTTGGTTGAACACTCGCTGCAAGCCGTAAATAGCGCTCCCTAAGCTATAATTAGTTCGAAGAAGTGGAAGTCTTCCCGAAAAAAAATAACAACAAAAATACAATAAAAAACAATGTAACAATAAGACGAAAATTATTGTCTTAACAATGATTTATATTGTTACGTCTACAATAAATTTACCTTGATTTATGTTGTACAAAACAGTAAATTTCATGGTAAATGGAAAATTTACAATAAAAAAGGGGGGTTGTTAAGTATCTTAACAATGAAATTTTCGTGATTTCCCCATACAATTTTTTTTCAAAAACATTATATATTATTGTTATTTTACTGTTGGTTGGCGAATTTATTGATTAAAAAAATAACAGTGTACTTTAGAGTGTATATGTTGGCTTGACAGATCTACTTTATCGACTTTAAAAATAAATCGAAAAAATAAAACATCGCCCCGGGAAGTGAAGGGGGTGGTATGTATGTTACGGGTGATTCCTTTTTTTACTGGTTATGGATTGAGATTCGATCCGGAACTTGTGAGAAATGGAAGCCAACTCCCCTGCACTCGATCTCTCTAGGTCACGTCTCCTTGGTGGTTGAGGGTCGTTGATAAGTTAATGCATTCAACTGGAACCCATGAAATATGCTTCCACCTGAGAGTTATTTCATGACATCTTCAAGTGGTGGATTTTTCTATTATTATTGTATGATTATTGACTGCACGGAAAAGGTCTGCATTAAGCGGGATTTAGATGATACAGGAGAGTTGAGTTCAACTCAAACCGATCTGGTCGTAGGCGTTCAATTGACTTGGCAACGAATAGAGCCAAACGAACTGTCAAAGCAAGAGCCATATGAGCAGCGCCTATCTTAATTACATTGGCAGTGTTGCTGACCCTCTCATAGTCTGCATGCTTCAATCAGATTTATTTTTATTGTTCGTGAAGTAACCCACAATGAAAACACACCAATATTTAATGTAACAACAATTTTTATTGTAATAGAGTTGTTCATTATTGTTCGTGATCGAATCATGTTAACAATAAAATAAATGAAAAATAAAATAAAAATCATTGTAACAACATTTTATTATGTACATTCATTGTACAGATAGGTAGCAGTTTTGCCGTTTTCGGAAGGGTACAACATTATAACAATCATTTTTATTGTCGACAATAAATATTAATGTCAGAGCATTGTTTCCACTGAAAATTTCACTGTAATTTTTTTTTCGGGTTAGCATAAGACTGTTGCGTAGTGATCGAGGTTGAACCAACCGGTGGAAACTAACGATTTTAAATTAACCAATTCGAGCAGTTAAAATGACGTTTACTACCACTCGAACTTTGAAATAAAACATTATTATTTTGAGATTTTTTCTTCTTAGAACCACGAGAAAAGTAGCCACACAGCAAAAAAAAATGTAATATCGATCAATGTAATTCAAGCTGATGTATGAAATAATGATGTAATAGCAAAAAGCAGATGAAATATTACATCAATGGATGTAATTTTGTTCGCAAAATCGATGTACATCGTACAACGTTATATTACACAACCGATGGATTGACCTGGTTGCAGGAGTTTGGATGTAATATTCAACAACTTTTTTTTTCTGTGCATCTGAACATTAATTGCAGAGTATCGGCGACGGTTAAGGCTCTGAAAACATCTTTTCGGATACGTAAGGGCTCGACATTGATCGATTGGCAGTGATTCTCGTAGCTTGGAAGACGTATAGCGAATTTGTTTATTATCGGGGTTGGAACCAGTTCCAACCCGTGCGAACCCGAACTTTTTGTCAGTGCGAACCTCGACCCGTGCCAGGTTTTAAAAACAAACGATCAAACTGACGTTTGCTAGAAAACAAGTAGACCCAATCTTGATACCCGATCCAGGTTGGAACTGAATAATAAACGAATTCGCTAGTAGTGGGTATCTCCAAACCTCATAGTGGAAAATTTTCCGGATGAAAACAAATCACTGACACAATCACATTTGAGAAATCTCTATTATTTTCAACATATAGGGGAAATGGCCTCGGAAATGGCTCTTATGTTGGCGTATGGATTGGGACCATCGCTAAAAATCTGCTATTTATCAATTTTATCTAGATGAATGCGTTATTGGGACGGTACTAATGGATATTTTTGGCCGCTATTGATAATTTAGTCGATTGCTGAATTTATGTATGGGCCCAAATTAGGAGCATTTAGCTGACATTACATCCATTTCCCCTATTTAAAAAAATGGAAATCAGCTCTATTACACTGCTCGACTTGACATTCATGTACCTTATTTTTTCTCTTTTAATGACATTCGGATGAAAAGTGGCAACAAGCGATATAAAAGAAAACGTCAGTCATGTCTTCGGGAATTAGATTGGAAGAAATTTTTAGAAAATAATCAGTGATTAGTAATAGCTTTCAGTCAGCATTTTGTTGAATCGAACAGTAGTAATCGAATAGCCGCTACCGGAAATCATTTTAAGTGTATGTAAATTTCCCCTGACCTTTGGCATAACGCGTCAACAAAGTGATGTAAGTATTTTCCCAGTTTGTTCAATGTCCATTTTTTGATACTCGTCATCATTACGTTTTTATTTTTGGAACATCTTCAACCAGCTGGATCCTCGTTCTGTCTCGCTCTTACACGCGGGATCAAAGCTGTTAGGCTGATGTTTATTTTTAATCTCTCTTGATTTACTTTCTCATAATTAGATTTTTCGATTAACCGCATTTTATTCCGTTTTTGCATGTGCGAAGCGTAAAGTACTTTCTCTGTGTAGAATAATACTGTCTTTGTGTAACTTTATTACAGAACGCACAAAGCAAATGGCAACAAAGCGGAAGCCAATTCATACACAAATGGGTGCCCCACCACGACCGAACATGAACTTCCGGCCGGGCATCAACGACACAACGGCCCGCGCCGAGGCCAAAGGAACACGGCCCACGGCTACTCCGACGACGGTCAAGGAAGTGCTGACAATGATGGTGCTGCACGTTTGCAAGAAGATTATATTTTTCGACACGAATTTAAAAGTTCCACTCTATTTGGGTAGTTTATTTATCGTATCCTTGATCGGAGATTTTCTGCCGTATCCAAAGACATACTTGGCGAAGGCGGATAACTTGTTTAACGTTTATTTTGTGAAGATGGGCTGGGCATGGACCCTGCTATTTTCGCTACCTTTCCTGGCGATGACCTCCATCACGGTTTGCTGTGGAGACCACCAGAGACTGGTGAGGAATCATCTTCCACGATTGGGAATCGCTACAGGATTTTGGTTTGTTTGGACCAAATTTTTCAACGTTATCGAATCGTCTTATGGACGTTGTAGTATTCGTGGATTTGACTCGAAATCTGGTTGCTTGAAAGCTGGTCACCTGTGGAATGGGTTTGACATTTCCGGTCACGCGTTTATATTGATGTATTCCAGCTTGGTGCTGATGGAAGAAGCTCGGTCAATCATTGGCTGGGAGACTATCAAAGAACACCTTCGGAACGAGGAGCATAACCGCACTAAGCAGGATAGGATGCAAACAACGAATCCTCTGAAGGGCTTAAAAGATGACGATTTGAAAGCGTTAAAATATTTCTACAATCGATTTACCCCTACTATTCGGTTGCTGTTCGTTGGTATGACCATGTTGCAGCTTCTATGGGACATTATGCTCGTCGGTACTATGCTGTACTACCACAGGATGGTAGAGAAAGTGCTAAGCGGAATAATCGCTGTGTTGACATGGTTCTTCACGTATCGTGCCTGGTACCCTGCAGCATCGCTCCTGCCAGATCCAGTTGGCAAGGGAATGTTCAACTATCAGTCCGTAACCAAACCAGCGGAGATCGGTCTTCGGAGGCGAACCAGCTTGCTGCAACCCAACGCCTCGCAGACTCAAGACATACCCAAATTCATGGGAATGCCACTGTATGCAACGAAACAACAGCAGCAACAGAATGTCAATGCATCGGCGACTGGACTCGGATCGCCGATGGATGCTGGTGCAAGCATACCGTCGTCTTCTTTTGTAAGTAGTACGAACACAGCGCGGTTAGGGGCCGCCTTCGGTGGTGGCAGCAATTTCGATATCAATAATCCGATTTTCTCGCGCTTCCAACAGAGTGCGCAGCGCAGTAAATTTGATTGAATTTAAAATATTAGCTTTGTTTTTTTTTTCGAATATACCTGGTGAGAGGCTGTTCTGTCTGTGCATAAAGACTTTACTTGATTTATACCTACTTCTAAGGACCAGAGAGCTGAAGAATGGTAGTCACCGCAAGATTCGCCTTTCTTCAAAATAGAAGTGAGAAACGAATATTGATTCATCTTATGAACAAAAAAAAAAAAAAACACTTATCAGTTGAAGGTTCAGGCGTTAAGGCATTTTACATTTTTCCTTAATTATTTATATGTTTGTGTTTTGTTTCCTAAATGTTGTTTAGGCATGTTTTGTTAAACCAGTTTTAGCTTATTTGTAATTGAACAGTTTGACAGTCGCAATCTTATGCCTTGTTCAGACTAGAGCGCTTATAACATGTCATAAGCATCTTCGACTAAAAAAATGCCTTATAAGATGTTATACTTCTCTAGTCTAGCCAGTGTTTTCGATTGTTTTAGAATAATTTAGTAGTGCAAGAAGAATTCATCGGTATTTTCCAATATTACAATGTCACCCAAATTTGCTTCATTCGCTTATGAAAAAACTTTCGTTGTTTAATTCTCAGAGGATCTCAAACTGATCGAAATGCAAAACGATTTTTTGTTATCCCAGTGACAAACAGTTACCCCTTTTTGTTTTATAGGGCTGATATACAGCTGATATTAAACATGTAAGCTTAAAAAACGCCCGGCGGCAATTGAATATAGCGAAAAAAATATTTTAATCGACGATTGCTTGGATACAGATTCAAGGGCAATAAGAACAAGTTTCAATAATAGCTCCTATTGCACATTTTGCCAACAATAATTATTGCAAGTAATATTTTCGATCAGACCAGAACATTCTAAATTCGGCATATTTGAAAGCAGTAGCAGCTCAAGAATAGTATTGACAAGCTACACTAATGAATTCGAGCTCTAGAACACTTTAAGAAGGACAATATTTAAGTTTTATGACCAATTCGTAAATATTATTACGAGTGTCACTTCACGGTGAAAGCGAAGTGAAGTGACCACTTATCACTCACGGTGAAGTTATTTCCATGTAAATCAAATGGGATTCACTTAACCGTGAGTGATAAGTTGTCATTTCACATCGGTAATAAGGACCTGTGTACTTTTGTTTTAGCGCAGGAGCATCTCGACCAAAAACTCTAAAGGGCCACGCACATTAGATCCGTTTGCGTTGCGTTGACGTATATTTGACAGTTAGACAATAGATTTAGCTGTCACTTTGCCGCAACGCGTCCGATCCGGATCTAATGTGCGTGGGCCTTAAGTGTGTATGAATCTGTCATTCTGCATGCTTTCTTTTCATATGGGATATGTTTTGTTTGTGTTTAGGAACTTTTTTGAAAACTCTGAGATGAAAAAAGTTCAAACTTTAACGATTTTGAGCCCATATTTTGCATAGCGTCTGTTTTCGATGCAATGAAAATTTTGCAGGTATATGGTTAGTTTGAAAAATTTTATGGTTTTTTTTCCATACATTTCATTTGTACCCTAATGCAAAAATCGATGAATTCTTCCTGCGATACAACCCGTACTATTACTTTCATACCAAGTGATCTTCTCTTAATTCATCACATACGAAAAAATAACTAGTAAACCAATTTTCACAAGACCAAAAAAAAACGCACTATTTCAAAGATAGATACCGACGATTTAATCAATTTTTTGCCATACAACTAATAACATTTTGGTGATCGGTTATTTTCGAACGGTTAAAGAAAAGAAAAAGATGGTTTATAATAAATCTACCAAAGTTTCTAAAACAGCACGTCTTTGACCCACACAAAAGAAAGCCCCTCATCTCTTGAGCAGTGTCGATCCTATGATCATCGACGAGAAAGAAAAAGCCGCTATGCCCGCCTTGTACGATGACGGTGTGTTCAACCAGATCGTTTTCAGCAGCGACGTTTTCGTCGGCAAAGTATTCTGAAAACTCTCGGTGGCCATAGTTTTGTTGAAATATATCTCCAGCTCCGGTCTTTTGCCGGCCGTCCAAAAACGGTCCTCCAGACCAAGCACGTACAAACGATACAGCAGACAACCGAGGGAAATGTCAACGGACGTGAACTCTCCGCCCGTGATCCATGGGCCCTCGTCATTCGATCTTGCCAGTTCCGATTCGGCATTGTCCAAAACGTCATCCAAAATGTCCAGCAGTTTCAGATAGTACTGTTCGCTGGCAAGCACTTCGCGTTTCCGATCGTGGAAGTCAGCCTTCCGGAGTAGGACTTCACTGAACGCTGGGAACAGCTTGGCATAGTCTCGTAAACGGCCACTAGTTGTTTCGTCACGCTCCAAAATGGTATACCGAACCGGTTGAACAAAGGGGGATTTTGGAGAAACCACCGTGCGCGGATGAAGGAACGATCCCATCGTAATTACGCCTATCGGAAGCTTCTCTAGGGTGTTTTTTAGGTTAACTATCTTCCCGCCTGCTGTCCGCGGTAGTTTCAATGGTTTGTCTGAAAGTATTTAAATTTTATCGATTAAATGCCGTTAGCTAAGCTGATACTATTGTTACCCTATTACCTTTAGGATAATTTTCTTCCAAGTAAGCCAAGATTGGACTGGAACCCGGCACAACAAGAAGGCCTTTCTGCAGCACCGGAAGCTCACCGCGAGGATTCAACTCCAGGAACCACTCGGAGAAGTGTTCATCATTTGCGACGTCTATCTCATACTTTGTGAAGCTGATATGCTTTTCATTCAATGCCCAAAGTACCTACGGGAAATGATTAGAAGTCGATTGATTAGTGATTACTTCGTTTATAGTAGTCAGTATACTTTTGTAAACTTCTCTAGTAAATTCCATACATCCAACTCTCAGTTAAACGATCATAATTTTAGTTAAAAGTTCCTAGAACCATAATGCTCCCTGCGCTTTGGTCAGATAGCGTATAGGGTGTCGTTGTGCCAATTTAGTCATGGCACATTTCGAGTATGAGAGAGTGATTGCAGTTTGCTCAAAAGTGCCTGAGTAAAATACAAGTACTTTCGATGATTACCCTTAGTTTTTACAGTGAAGATATACATCTATATTCTCGTTAATGTATGGGCGTGTTTGCCATACAGAAACATTTTTATTTGATTTTGTGTGGTGGATGGGTTTCGGGCGTGGACGGGCATAGGTTGGTTGGCAAGGTTGAAAAATTGAGAAATTTATCGCTTCAATTTGACTAGCACTTCACTTCGCAACCGATGAACCATTCTGACGGCCCACATTACCGTGCAAGCGCCGTGTGTTGGCAGGGTCCAATATTGGACAGTTTAATGTTTATAAAGTACCATCAGTTAAAACTGTATTTTTAAGCTTTATCTCTATACCACAGACAAACAGACATAACACATTGAATATTTCTCAGTGTAAAACATCGTCGCTCAAAAATTACCGCCATCTGTTGAGTACACTGTGGTGGGTAGTGCGCTGAACAGATAGCGGCAGTGTGTAAACGTCAAACGCAAGGGAATTGACTATGCGCGCCACAGGTGGCGGCACTACCAACTACGATACTTTTCAATTTACCGTTAAATGCTTGTTCGATGAACAACTTGCGAGAGTTATGTCTGTTTGTCTGTGTCTATACATTCTTAGGTGTTTCTTAGAAAATTATCATGTTGGTGTACGCTGATTCAAAGAGTAAATGTAACTAACATTGAGCTGTCCATAGTTGGGCGTTGTTGAACTTGTGGTACTTGCACAACATTTCATGTGAGTACCAAAGTAACCATATAATCACAAAATAACTTTAAATGTAGGTTCAGAGTGAGACAATGTCACTGAGATATAGTTAGTTGGGTATTCAGATGACCTTATTACACACTTAGAATTTTTTACAGAAATCTGCAAAATTTTACCGAAATCTCAACAGCTGAACGTTTGGTAAACAATTTCGCAGATTTCCTGTAATTTTTCACAAATATCTGTGAATATTTCACAGATATCTGTAAATAATTACAGGAAAACTGTAAAATTGTTTACCGAACGTTCAGCTGTTGAGATTTCGGTAAAATTTTACAGAAATCTGTAAAATAATCTTAGTGTGTACTTTAAAAAAATAATCCTGGTTGCATCTCTTTTTCGTTTGCATGTAACACTGTTTGATATTACCACATATTACTAACCGAACCGAGCCTTCATTCCGGGTGGTAAGCGAACCTGAAGAAGATGACCATGAGCCCCTTCTCGGAACGAGTGTTTTGTTAATGGACCTGGTCTACGATTCAAAGTTGGATTCTGTGATGCTAAGTATCACATAAAATAGGCAGCATCATCTTTATCGAAATGTAAGTATTATTGACAATGACTAGATGATATGCAAATGTATATGATAGGTACCTGGATCAACGTTATTTAAACATGCGCATTCAATCGCGACGGCATCTAATTCTGCATTTTAAACCTACCGAACCCCTTTCTTTCTACAATCCCTGATCAACTGGTTCACCATAAGTGTACCCGCAAAAATGTTTTAACCACCATTTTTTTTTTTGGGCATAACACTATTGCGACCAGTAATTTGATCTATTGTAGTAGGGGAAAAGTTGGCTTCGGCAGTACCTTAACCTATTATCGTCAGGGGGGTAAACAACGTCCTTGAGAGCTCAATTTTGGCATGTGGATACATTGTGTTTCAGAGCAACTATTGGCCCAATTTGAGTGCTCTAGCACTTTGTTTACCCCCATGACGATAATAGGTTGAGGTATTGCCGAAGCCAACTTTTCCCCTATATCCCGTGTTCTTAGTTTAGTGCATATCGTATTACTCCATCACTATTGAGAAATGATGAAGTATTCGGTTTTGATACAGTTGTCATTCTTGCCTTCATCACAAGGAATCGATTCTAATAGAAAGGTCCCGCTATTTATACCCTTCGGAGTTGGAACACCCTCCAAAGGCGCGCCCCTTTGTCAGTCAAAATTGGATTCCTTAACAACAAAAACAAGCTATGACACCGATCATGAGCATGCATCAGAACCCTAGTAATAACCATTTCAAACTAGGGAACAACGATTAGAAGATTTGGAATCACATAGGTGAAGATTACTAACTAATTTTTTCAATGTTTCAAGATCACCCTCGGTCCAGGCAACCCGAGGACTTATCACTATCAACAGGGCATAAAAAGTAGCAAGGACTAAGATGTGTTCCTTTGATTACTGAAAAATCCTGTTCCCCTAGTTTGAAGAAGTCAGCGAGCATTTCTCACTTCATTTTCTTCGTTACACTAGTTTACAAAACAACATAAAAAGTGTGAACTTTAGTGGTTGACCAACGTTTCTAATGCAAAATCCTACGCTGAATTCAATGCCGTGGTCAGAAAAAATTAAAGTAGAGCCATTTTTGAGATACACAAAAAATTTGATTTTTTGAATTTTGGACAAAAGTACGATTACTAAAATGTCAATATCTTTGGAACTAGTTCACCAATTTTAAATCTTTTTTTTATGAAAATGAAGCTAAATAAATTTGCTATCGTTCACTAGAATATTATGTCTTAATTAAAAATTTAATTTTGAAGTCATTTAAAAATTTACAGCATTTTTTTTTATTTTTCCTGCGAATTTTCCATAAAAATCTTGTTTTAATCAACATTTTTAATGGGATAAAAAGATTCAAAAAATCATTCCATAATGTATTCTTAAAGTCCATTAAAAACTGGAGAAAATGAGCCTTTAATGGATGAAATCGGTTGGAAATTGTCGAAGTTATGAAATTTTTTGTAAAATCATGGAAATTGAATGTTCCAAGATTGGCCGTTGTCCCGCTTCTAGGTTCATGCACCACTTCCAGTAAGCCTTTCTGCGGACGTGTACGCATACGGTGCATTTCACTAACACTACCAGCTGTCACGCAAAATTAAATGGGATATTTTCAACAATATAATTTACGCTAGTGTTTGTGAGACCGCTCGGCGAGAACCTAACGCAACCAACTCAATTTGACAGCTTTCTTTCTTTAACATTGCTTAACGATGTATACGACAAAACGTGAATTCAAGTGTAAAAATGATCCTCAAAAGTTTTGTTACGCGTGTGGCAACTATATATTTACAAAATCGGTCAATTTCACTGCTTCGTTGCAAACTGCATACAGGCTTTATTTTAAAATTGATCCTGGAGACTTTGACGAACCGTGGATTCCAAAAGTATTATGTAGTTCGTGCAAAACGTGCTTGGCTAGGTGGATGTCAGGCGCAAGGTAAATTGATTTTTTGAATAACTTTCATATAAACAATTTATGTACAGCATGGTAGTGCTTTGTTCTTTCCTGATCGACATTATCTTACTTCATCTATTTTTGATAAGTGTTAATGTCTTACTTACTAACTCACTTATTTGTTATCTGGCAGTCGCTATTTGTCCTTTGACATGCCCACCATATGGCGTCGACCGTTTTGTCATGCAACGGATTGTTATTTCTGCTTGACAAAAGTTAAGCAACAAGGACGTCACAAAACAGTTGAGTATCCACAAGTGGCTTCTATGACAAAACCTGTTCCACATTCAAGTTCGGTCCCGTATCCTGTTTATCCAAAGCGGAAACGCGCGCCCTCTCTTGAATCGACCGTTACAAAAAGTGAGGAGGAATTCAAGGAGGAATGCGAGGAAGACTTCGAGGTGGAATTGGAAAGAAACCCAAAACTGTTTACACAATCCGAATTTAATGATTTGGTGCGAGATCTCGACTTATCGAAGGAGAAATCCGAATTGCTGGAATCACGCTTGAAAGAACACTACATGCTGAGCAAGGAGGTCAAAATTTCTTGTCACAGGAATCGTCACAAGAAATTTGACAAATATTATTCTACAAAGGACAAGGCATGTTTTTGCCATGACGTAAACGGCTTGTTTGAAGAGTTTGGTGAGCCATATGATCCAGCTGAATGGCGTTTATTCATCGATAGCAGCAAGTTGAGCTTGAAAGCCGTTTTACTGCATCAAGGGAATGAGAAACCTTCTATTCCATTAGCTCATGCCGTTAATATGAAGGAAACGTATGAATCAATGGCTCTATTGCTCAATTTGATAAATTACAATCAACACAATTGGAAAATTTGTTTCGATCTTAAAGTGGTTGCCATGTTGACTGGATTGCAACAGGGATACACAAAATATATGTGTTTTTTGTGTAAATAGGACAGTCGAGCTCGTAAGGAACACTACGTCCGAAAAGATTGGCCAAAACGGGATAATTTCACAATTGGTAAAGACAACGTTAAAAATGATCCTCTTGTGGTAAAAGAACGCATAATACTTCCACCACTACATATAAAACTTGGGCTATTCAAAAATTTCGTCAAAGCGTTGCAAAAAGAAGGGCCGGCATTCCAGTACTTGAAATCAGTATTTCCAAATTTATCTGACGCAAAGATAAAGGAAGGTGTATTTGTTGGCCCACAGATCAAAAAACTGCTCAATGATTCCGCATTCAATACAGTTTTGACACCAGATGAGGAAGAAGCGTGGAAATCGTTCCAGCGTGTTGTCACAACCTTTTTAGGAAATTTCAGAAGCCCAGATTATGAGGAAGCCGTCGATGAATTGCTCAAAAATTATGAGAAAATAGGTATAAATCAAAAATATTGTGTTTGTTACATATAATTAATTTCAAATCCTTTTATTTCACTGAACACAGGTGTGAATATATCTTTGAAGATACATTTCCTACATTCTCACATGGATTTTTTCCCGGAAAATCTTGGTGACGAGAGTGATGAGCA